AAACTGCTTGCAGTTTTCCCAAAATAACTCTGATTTTATTTTAAAAAATTGCACTTTTTTGCTCACCTCTGCACCAGTCTGAATTATTTCTGAGAGTCTGCCTGATGCAGCATCAGTGTAAAATGTGTTTCATGTACAGATGAACCTTATAGCCTTCTTATACTGTATTTTTCTACTCCTATAAAAGAAGCCCAAAATGCAGTCTGGCTGCTGTAATCTGTTATTTATAAAGGCACCTTTTCCTTCTCCACACCCAAAGATTTATTTTCTCCAAAATTCTGAGTACTTGCTTTGCTTGTTGATATTTATGCTGTATAATTACATCTTTATGTCATATCTATTGTACAGACATTGACAGAATCACTTTTTTTTAATTATTATTTTTTCTTGGAAACAATAAAAATCCATTTCCTCTTTTTTGATTATCAGGAATTTCCCATGTCCTTCATATTTCAAAAATAATTAGGTTATTCCTTCAAGAAAAAGGATATAAGACAGGGAAGCACAGATCCTTAATATATACATACCAGTAATCAAAATTCCATCCTGTTCTTTGCTACTGACTGATTTTTTAAGGTTTCTGTTATTGAAAATTTTCCAGACATCCTTTCTTTGGCCTTAAAAAACAAAATAGGTGTTTCTCTTGAATAGATAGGTCCTCTAGAAATTGCAGCTCTCACCTGACACAAATTTGTTGTATTTAATTCATTGAATTTCTTTACTTTTCAAACACAAACCATGCCTAACCCACTCTCCCCACCCTCCCCAAATCCAAACTAAAACTCCTGAGTTACGAGCACGTGGTGACAAGTTTTGCAAACAAAGTCCATCTCTTTCCAACCCTTCACAGACATAATAACACCTCAGTTACTGGCTGCCAAAGGAAGAAAAGAAGTTTAGAAAGGGAAAAAAGAGAATTTAGCAAGACAGCACATTGTGGTTTTACTCCTTTGTGGTGACAATTTTTACATTTCTTCTAGCAGAAATAGATGATAAAAGTTAATTTTGATTGCCACCTTTTATTATTTGATTATTTGATTGCCTTTTGAATAGATCTTGCTAAATGATGCCATTTTTCCTTAGCAAACAGAACACATGGTAGTAAACAAAAGAAAGAGCAAATGAAGCTACAACACAAAGAATTACCCTGTCAGACTGATCAGCATCCTTACATAAGCAGTGTTTGGATATTTAAACTTAAAATCACATTACTCAGCACTCCTACAAAGCAGTTACATGCCACCTATATGGGATTTTAATTATGTTTTCTTTAATAAGACAAATAGAGTTGCTTTCAGGAAAGGCTTGAGTGCTGGTGTTAGAAGCTGTCCTCTAACTGAGGAGTTTGGATTGCAGGCAGTACCTAACCCTGACTTTGCCATTTTTGATCTTTCTTAGTTAGGTGAGGAAAAGAACAGCAAAAATCAAAGAAACAGAACTGTGGTTCTGAGGCTGTGGTTCAAAGACATCTCTGTGGTTTGTTTAAGATGCTGATTTGGAGCTGCTTGTGTTTGTGCCCTTTGTGGTCCCTTCCAGCCCTGACAGATTCTGATTCTGTTTTAGCAGAGGACTTAGTAGTGTTGGCTTGATGGTTGGACTTGATGATCTTGGAGCTCTCTTCCAACCTAAAGGATTCTATGATTCTATCTTCTGTCCTGGAGGAGACAGAAGAGGAAGAAAGGTCAGAGAATGGCTCCTGCACCACCAGAGGTTCCTGGCCAGTCTCTGCATGCTCACAGTGTGAGCCTGTCGAGCCAAAGGGTCTTTTCTCTGTTAAGGTGTGTCCAAATGACATTAGGACAAGGAAGAATCTGGGATGAAATATTATTTTTTTATCAGCTTTTTAACATGGCTAGGAGAGAAATTAATTTTTTCTAATATTAGATGTCTATGCTGGAATCAAGACCATATATTGTCTTTATACTCAATGGAAAGATATGGGGCTCCTTCAGTGAATGATTCATCCCACCTCTTTTAATCTGAATAGTGACTTTACTGACTCTTAGGGAAATCTAGACAACTAACTCATCAATCCAAGTTTAACTGAAGTGTATTTCACCTGATTAAAGACATTGTTCAGCAAGGTGGCACTGAGGATGCTCACTGGATTCCTCACGATCCTCTCTAAAGCCTTGCAAGTAAAGTCTGCTTTATCTACTTGGGGCAAAATCTGTGACCTGTCAGTCAGCAGAATCCTGGTATTTAACTGGGTTTGTTGGTTCACTTCAGAGTGAACTCAGGCTGCAGGGGTAGAGGAGGAATTATCTGGTAAAGGAAACTTTCAGACCCTCCAGATTACACTTCCCCAGAAGCAAGCCCCGTTGTGTGCAAGTAACTTAAACTTATCTATACAACCCTGCACCAAAAATTCAGTATTTTCTATGACTGCTTTCTGTGATAAAGTAAATTTAAAAAATAATAAGTAATTTTGCTCTTTTTGAGACGATGGGAAAGTTAAATTTAAGAGGTCATTACATTATTATGTCTATGTGGTAGTACAAGCCCAGTTCAGAAAGTATCTGATGTACTAAAGATATCTCATTTTGTGTTCTGATCACAATGACTCACTTGTAAGTTTTTGTTTCTTTATATCTTAGTTTATTTTCAATTTTTGTGGGTTTTTTTTTGGTTTGTTAAACACTTTAACATATTTATTTTACTGAGGGTAAGAGCAAGTTTAAAATACAAAATATTCCTAAGCCAGAACTATGGTGTTTGGTTATCTACCCAAAAAGGAAAATAAATAATGAGGGAAGTTTAAATATTTGAACTCATTTAAAATTAAGTACAAGCAATTCCAAACTCTTATGATTTGACCTCCACTTTTGCCCAGGACAGATTTGGGCTGCTCCCAACATATGGGGTCTGCTCATTCCCACCTACCCCTTCCCATCCCTTCCCTGGTGTTGACACAGCCAAGCTGAGACTCAAATCAGGCTAAAAGGTTGCTACAAATTTTGTGCTGTTCTCTTGAGCCTTATACAAGCTCAAAATGTTGATCTGAGGTAGCATATGGTGACACCAGGCCTAAAGGTGCTTCTCCATCCCAGGTGCTTTGATAGCCAGGGTATTTGAACAAGATAGGTGGGAGAAATAAGGTAGGTGGTCTTCCAAATGACTTGCTAGGTTCCTAGAGGGATTCTGGTGGTGGCAGAATTACATTTCCATAGTTAGCTCCTTCTGTGCCACCACAACCATCAGCCCATGCACTGCTTTAATGGATAGAAAGGAATTGTGAACTCTGAGTAGACTTCTAGGGTAATGTGGTGGGATTTCAGAGCCTTTCAAAGCTGGAGGAAAGCAGTGGGTGGTTTTTGTCTGGCCTCCTGTGTGATACAGATTGTGAAGAACATTTGGTTATCCTTGTTTTGAGTCCTGTGAGTTGCATGGATCTAAAGTAAATCTGATCCAAACTTAGAAGGTCAATCTATTAAGTTTTCATTTGGGTGTTTTAGAGATGAAATACATTTCTTTGGGTTTGTGCTGTGAGGGAGTTGCAGGCTGACCACCTTCACAGTCACTTCATGCAGCGTGAGTCAGTGCCGCATCATCTTCCTTCCAGCCAGCTAAGCTGTCCAGCAGTGGTCTCTCTCATCCCTCTGATTCTTCATGACTTCTAAGAAAATCTGGTTGATACAAGCCTGGCAACGAGGTGGCCCCAGCCTTAACCCACAAAACCATCTCTGTGACCACTCAGCTGGTGGAGCTGTCAGGAAATGGTTTCACAGTTTTCTGTTGATGATTTGATGTGTTAAACTAAAAGGAGCTCTGTGAAGTTTTGGCTCTTTCTGACCAGTATTCCCCCAAATGATTCCTGGGCACAATTTGGGAATGAAGACGAGCTGGTGACTGGTCTCAGAAGACAGCTGAAATGTTGGCTACACTCTGGGGGAAGGTGACAGAGTGTAATAGAACATAGCAGAATTCTTAATAAATAAGAAGTCTGGGGGTTTGCCAGATGGTTTCCATGCCAGAGAAATAATCCCTCTCACGTTTCATTGGCTAGTGTAGACTCAGCCCTGGAGCTTTCCCTGGCATGCTCTGTGTGAGGGGTCGCAGGACAGCACAGTTTGGGGTTGCTCCAGAGCTCTGGGTGAATTCAGCTAGTAAGGAACTAAATAAATAAAATGTCAAGAAACATAGTTAGCATACAAACCTCAAAACTTGCCCATTTCATTGGGGGTTTAATCAAAAGTGACACATTTGCAAAATACTTCCTTTTTTTGTAATGAAAAAGCATTCTGGTTCATTACATGCAGTCAGAGCTAGACTGAGGAATACCTTCAAGAAAGTGCAGTAAGACTATGAAGCATCAAGATGAATTAATTCATCAGTTTCTTTAGTAATAGGTCGTAATAAGTCCACAGTTAAATTTTGATTTTTATTCTTTGAATTGGTATGACTTGTTCCCTACATCTTTTCCTTTCTGGCATTGTCTGTCTTTGAAGGGACTCGATGCTGTCATCAAGTCTCCACTTGATCTTCTTCCCAAGAGTATAAACTGATAAAAGTTCCTTAAAGCCTTTTGGCTGCATGATGTTTGGTTCAAAATGAAGCAAAAATTATTTCAGCCTGCTGGAAAACATTTTTATCAATGTCACTTCCTTATGAATTGCTCTGTAATAGGCATATGCCATATGACACACATACTGAAAATACATTTTCCTCCTTTCTGTGACCCAGTTCAGTACCAAGGAAATGAGCTGGTGAGGCTTTGTGTTCTTGCTGCATCGATTTGCAGTGAGGCATCCAAAGAACTGACAGGAAGAAAATCTGGGTCTGAGGCATCACTTGTCCCACGCTGTTATTAGCCAAGGTCATGGCTAATAATACACAAGATTTGAAGTGGTTTTCCCTCTTGTTTTCTTCATCCTTAGCAGAATGCTGAGGTTCCAGTTCTGATAGCAAAGATTTGAGAGTCAAAGGAAAACTGACAATCTCTGCAAAGATGTCAACCAGGCTGACATTAGAGTAACTCTCCTTCTGCTGGTTTTTTCTAGGTATAAAGATTTGGCTGATACAGCAGCAGGAGAGAAGAAGAAGTTGTCTGCCAAGGAGAGATGTCGTCTTGTTCTTCAGCAGTGTAAATTACAGGGCTGGCAGGTTTGTGATCTACAAAGCAATTAAAATATTATTCTTTAAACAAGCCAGCTGAGTCATTTCCATTGTGGCAAGCCACCAGTATGTTCCTTTGACATTTCATGTATGCTTTGGGATAGAATCAAACTGATTTGCTGAGTTTTCTAGCATGTGAGTAGCTGTGATCATTGTGTCAGAAATTCAGTGTATTCTTGTGGGAGGGGAGAGATTTCAGTTAAGGGTGTGCACTGTGTAAATTGGCATCCAGGCTTTTGAAGGTATCTGATGTCTACATTTCAGTGGTTGAATGGTGTCTGAATTACCAAAAAAAAAGGAACCAAACCAGCACATTTTCCTTTCTGTAAATTCCTATCCTAAATGCTCTGCTGTCATAATAGGGGAGATCCAGAATTACTTAGGACATCCCATCAAGTTATGCCTCTGTAGGTGCCAGCATGCAGCTCCAAAGATAGCCCAAAGGACTTAGGGTCACTATACATAAAAAAACTAAAAAGCCAGACTGAAGAGGCAGCTCTCTCCTTCCCACCCCATCTCCTAACCCTGTTTATACCCTAGCTGAGCCTCCCCAGCATGGGGACTCCATTCCTTCAGAGTGCTCAGTCACCTGCTCTGGGTGTCTCTGTGACTGAGCAGCACTGATTTCTTCAGCACATGCAGTTTCTGTAGAAACTGGTGTTTGCTTGCACACTGGATAAGCTCTTGCACAGAAGGAAGCTCTCTGTTACTTCATGTGTTGAGGATTCTCCCAGACAACAGGAGGCTCAAATTCAGGTTTTTTTCCTAGCCTATCCCACAAAAGAGGATCCAGACCAGATTCAGTGACAGGTAGGAAGTTTGCAAAGTGGACTGTGGTTAGGACACTCCTATAGCTTCCTTGGGAATATTGGTTTAAAGGAAGGGGTTAACAGAGTTCTCATTCATGTGTGACCTCTAAGCATTGAGACACCCAGAAAACGTTTCTGCAGCTGTTTATAAAGGACAAGGACTATGTTTGACTTGTTTCCCAGTGGCCCAAATTCCTTAGTTATTACAGGAAAAAGGATAGGTAGGCTCCCCACGAGGCTGGGAACACAATTACATGATCACCTCTACTTGGTGATTTTTATTTTGTCAGAATACTGTTCAAGTTCAAGTCAAGACTAAGTTTTTAGTCAGTAAAGTAAGCAGTGGGCACATAAAGCCCCACTCCTTCAATAGCAAACAACAAAGGGATGGGCCCTGAAGAAGATAATCATATTAAAATAGGATTGCTTTCCCTGCTCAGGTTTCTTAAGTCAGCTCTGGGGTATATTCTGCATCCTTGCCACAAGGTTCCCTGTAAAAAAAACAATTATTGATATCTAGAAGCTCTGCCTTTGCTCTCACAAGTGGAGCTGAGAGCACCACTAACCTTCAGAACTAGTGTGGAGCCACAAGCCTGACATTGGGCAAAAGCTGTGTACCATTAATTGCATATTTTGCTCCAGTAATGAAACCCAGAGCAGGATGCCCGTGGGGTTTATTTCCCTGGGAGCCAGTAACAGCATTACAGCATGAAAGGAAAGCAGTTGGCCACCAGTGAAAGGCTACAGCTGACAGCTAGTGATTCTGCAGTGATTGGCATTTGAAAACAAGCCTGAAACGTTGGGAGACAAAAATGTAAAAAGGAAATTGCCAAACAGAATCCCTGCATCATTCAGAGGACTGAAGCTTGTGGTCTCAAAGAGATTTGATAGAGTTTTGACTCCAGAATCTCATGAATAGCAGAAGTCAGGTGAGCAAAACTACAGCAGTGTCTATGAATTGTCCTTCAGATGAGAAAGGAACAAAACTCTGAGGAGATGCTGATAAGGAAATGGAAGAGGAGGGTTTGGGCATGAGGGTTACACCAGGGACTGAGAAGCACATGGCAACAGATTGAGCTGAAGGGAACGAGGTCTGAAAAGAGGAGTGACCTCCCCCTTACACCTTTTTCAAGCCACAGGGAGCTGTGATAAACAGCTATAAAGAAGATAATCACAGATGAAAAATCTAGGAAAAAATTCTCTCTAAATCCAGGCAGTTTCTTACAAATGCCCAGAGATTACAAGCTTGACACCCAACATGTTTTGTATAGGTGCTACAAAGCCATATACCCAACCATCAGCAGCAGTGACTAATGTCTGTGTCACATAATCTCTCCCTCTCAATTACCTTTTTGATTCATTTGACTAATCACGAAAGCTGAACTTTAAATAACAAGCTAAATGAGGAAGCTTATACAATCTGCAGTTGTCATGGGTGCCCTTCACTGTGATTTTACAGCAGAGGACTCTGGAAAAAAAGAAGAAAAAAGGAATTAAAAGGGAGAAGAAAGGGAAAGGGGGGAAAAAAAGGAGTGAGGAACCCAGGATGATGTCAGCTAACGAAGCCAGAAGAAGAAGTCATCTGTAGTGCATCACTAAAAGATCATCCAAGTAGGGGACTACAGATATAACCAGTTTATTCAGCCACTGTTGAGAGCAGTAACTGCTTCCAAGGAGTCACTGCTGGAACTGGAAATCTATTTGGTGCAGGAGTTCATGAATAAGTCAAAAAAATGGTTTCCCCAACACTGTTACCTGCACTTCACTGAAGAGATGTTGCAGATTCAGGTAGATAAATCTCCTCCAAAAATAGATAGCTAAAATGTCCTCATCAAAGATGGTCAAGTTTAGGAGAAAGTACCACACATCTGAAATCAGCCTCCTGCTTAGATGTCTTCACCAGAGGATGAGGTTGCCAATAACCTCCCCAACAGAGGGGGCAGAAGGAAGATCTGGATTTCATAGCTGAGTGAGTCTGGATGTTACTTTATTTAACTCCCTTCTAATAATTAACCTCTCCATCCCATTTTGTGAAAGGGGATGTTAACTTGGGGGAGAGGAAAGTAAAACCATGTTCAGAAGTAGAGAACCCAAAATTTAGTAGAGAAAATGGTTTTGTTGTATTTTTTTTTCCTGCTTGACAATTTATCCTTTCTTTCTCACCTAAGTTGTGTCTGGAGAATGTTTTATTCACCTACAGAGCAAACCCCAGAGCCTATTCACAGAACAAGGTCTTTCTCCTCTTGTAAATGCTGCAGTCTGTTCAAAATGGGGGTCAAGTGCAGAAGATCCAATACCAGCATCTCATTTGGGTTTGTTTTCTGTAGTTTAGTGGAGCAGAAGAGCAAACACCATCAGCTAGCCAACGTCTGGGGCTTGATTCAGCAGCTTCTGTGCTGGAAGAAAGTATTTATTAGGGAAGTGTTGATAGGTTTATGAAATGTGGCTGTTACTTGGATCAGCTGAGCTGGAGATAACTAAACCAGGACAATAAAATAGCTCTTTCATTGGAGCTGGCATACCCTGCAGTTTGTCATGCTCTTAGCTCAACTCCTGGAGCTGTAAAAGTGCAGAGCTCCCAAGGAAAGGCAGCGTGGCTCTGTGTGCAGCCTAGATAAGGAATCCTTCAGCTTCAGTGTGGCCTTCATCATGGCAAGCTCAGCCACTTGCTGGGATTTTGAAGAGCTCCCAATGTAAGAGAAAATCAGCTTTCTAAATCAAAACAAACCAGTCCTGCTCCAGGCAGAGGGAAAAGGAATCGACTCCTTTAACCCCTGGAGAAGTCAGGGAGAGTTTTGCTGTTTGTGTTAGAAGGAGAAAGATGGTTTGGGGTAACTTGAGAGTTAAACTGAGTGGAAGTGGTGGCTGCTCCATGTAAAGCAGAAGAATCTCCTCCCCTCCAGAAAATCTGAAGGTCTTTACATTAGGAAACCAACATTTTCAGTGCTGTGGTCCTTTATTGTCATGCACTGCTGTATTACCTAAGCAAAGCTGTGAGAAATGGGTGTTTCTCCTTTATTTTCTGGCTTTTTTCTGATTTTTTTGACAAAAGCCTATGATCCCCATAGCATGACTGGCTGGCAAACATCATTATGCACTGGGAGAAGTGTGGGGCACAAACAGTCCTTGGCTTTTTTTCCTGCCATAAGGAAACTTTCATTTGTTTGGATTATCATTCCTCACACTGTTAAGCTTGCAAATATAAATTCAATAAAGGAGAGTTAGCTCACAGCTTACTGAGTTTTCTCATCAAAACTTGGGAGCTTTACGTTTTGTTTAGCTAAGGTCAGTGGTCTGCAATTAACCCTTCTGAGTTCCTTCAGATGGAGCCTGCTGAAATGCAAACAATGATATTATAGCAGAAGTAAACCAAAAAAAAAAGCACTGATTTAATTTTCTCTTGCCATACAGTGCAGCTGTTAAATACAAGTGCTGCAAAGGCCAGACTTCAAGTGGATCTTCCAGCCTTTGACTGCTAGAAATGTTTGTCTGGTTAAAAGATAGAAATCCTTAAAAGTGTCTAAGAAAAGCTTTGTCTTAGTTTATCTTTCTAGTTTTTAGCACGCTGCTTTTAATCCACATTGATTCCTTCTTATCAGTAGCTTTGAGTTCTGAGCACGAGAGATCACTCCTTTTGCAAAGAGTAAGACAAGTATTAAGTTGGAATAAAATGATGCAGAGACTCCTCAGGTGTGAAATAAGCAGTAGGGGAGTCAGGCAGAATGTTTTTATGAAGCTCTGAATCAGCATCAGGTAGTTGGATGAGATGGAGGTTGTGTTAGTTCCCATTTTTGTGTTAGTTCCCATTTTTACAGCCACAGATGCTGCTGGAGTTGTTTCTGGAGCCTGCAGTGTTACTGGAGAAATGATCCTTGCCCAGGTAAAGCTGTACTGTTAAATTTCCACTCAGAAAGACTATTAAAGAAGAGAATAAGCCCTCAATAAAGAGAAATCCCAGAAGTCCAGCTAGAGAGTTTAAATTCTAGTACTTCTAGAAGGAAAATGTGACCCACAGTTCTACCAGTCATCAGGAGAACTGTGTTTGGAAACTGATCTACAGGTATTTCATTTATAGGACTTGATACAGCTGCCTTTAAGGGCTTATTTTAATTATTATTTCAACATATTAATAGAAAATATTCTCATAGCAGAGTCCTTTTGGGGAAAACTATGATTCAA